AAATTTCATAGAAACATTCTCTCTCCTTTCATTACGTATTATTTATACGACAAATCATATCTTTTAAATTTAAGTTTCAACACTTCTATCCCAAGATATAACGATAAAACTTGAACGTGTCTTATGGGTAGTATTAGATTTTCCCCTATAACCAGCGAACAAACAACTGTAAAAAAATATATGTATATAAATATTGAATGACTTTCCCTTTTAAAATATTCAACGAATAATACAATATAGTTATGTTACATTAAAAACAAATACGTCGTAAAAGTTTTAACAAAGTTTTCTCTAAATCTGCATAATAATTGTTACGATAGTTTAAATAAATTCGGAAATACATATATTTTGCAATTTGTGTATTTCGATTTTACATTAATAAATTGTAAAGCGATACTAAAAAGTATCTAATCAAAATGAATCCTTTTACGAACATGAAAAACTGATATTTCCTTTCTCGTGTATGCAAAAGTGATAATTATTTTCATTCATATGATTTTTATTAATTCCGATAAAATTTGTATATCTATTATCGGATTAACACGTAATAAACAGACAAATTTTTCATCGATGAAATCAACTTTTTATTATGCGCCTTTGTTTATGTAACATCAAAGTAGCTTTGCAGAGATAAGATATACCAATTTTCCATATTCCATAATTTAATAACATTTAGAAAAATAATAAACATAAACGAAAATAAAATTCCTAGTTAATGAATTTCGTGAGTAGAAATTTCTAAAGATTTATACCGCGAAGAAAAATAGATCTTTAACAAATACATTTAAGTATTCGAAATAAATTTATGAAAATTCTTAATATTTTTTAAAACATTAAACTTGTATTATTATATTAATTGTATTGAACTTATATTACTTGTATTAAACTTATATTATATATATATATGTCACAGGAAAATAATACAAGTTTAATGTTTTAAAAAATATTAAGAATTTATATATATATTGTGTCATATTATCTAAGAGAAAAGAAATCGTATTTCAAAAGTAGTAGATATATCTATATTATACCTATTCATCCTTTTTTAGTTTCTCCTACATATTTCTATATTATACCAATGACATAATATAATATTGTTTAACTTTTAATAAAAGTATTACAATGATGAAGTAATAGTAACAAAAATAAGTAATTTTTCGATATAATCTATTTTCATCATTCGTATATGCACATGTAGATGACTAATACGTTCTTAATTTTCTATAACTACATTTTTGTACTGTTGTAATGAATAGTGGCTAACTTTTAACTCGATGACATATTCGTCATATAAATGTTCTCAGTAGTTAATGAGAAATGCAGGCAATAACTACGGAGTTATATTCACTAAATCTAAACCCACTCCATTCGATGCCTTTGTGGGAATCCTAGAATCAAAAATTAAGTGGCACATGTTAGTTATTATCAATATATTTTGCAATAGTAACTAAGATAAACTACAAGTCGAATACGATTATACATGAAATTTACAATTGAATATTTTGCGACACGTTATAAATTTATTTAATAATATTAAAAGAAACGGAGCATAATTATTATAAAATTGTGTATCGTAAAATTTCAAGTTTAGTGTTTCTGTCGTTAAAATATTCACCTATAATAAAACCTATAATACGTTACATGGTTATTTATTATATTAGACGAAATTTTAAATATTATAGGAGCATATACATAAAAATAAAAGTTAAAACAGATAGAAGTATGAAGAACCTTAATGATACGATACCGGCCAGAAAACTTTCATTCTTCCAAGAGAAAAATTCAATTTAAAGATTAATATATTTTCTACTATAAAATTTGTTTTATGATAGAATCAATGGTGTATATATGTATAAAATAGTTCTTTAGCAATTGTCGTTTATTCTTTATTTCTTGGGTACATATGTCAAAAATAGAAATGAAAATAATATGGGAAGATAACATTCCATACCACGATATATTCTCTTTTCTCGAATATATTATTATTCTGACCACTAATACTAAACGGAATACTAAACGGAAAATACTAAAGAAAATGTTTATGATAAATGTCAGGAAACATATTTTGTTTAAATTGCATCAGCACTTTTAGGATTTTCACGATACTCCAATAACTTAAATTTCATTAGAAACAATGATTAGCCAATTGAGGTCTAATGTAATTTCACAAATATAACATATAAGCTATGAAATTGGGTTAACTTCTCCATTACATTCACACTTTGTTGCATAAGAAATTTAATTTTAATTTTACTTTTACTTATAATTTGCTTACTTTAATTTTGCTAAGGGCATAATAATATTTTACAGAATGTCGCAAAAAATATCGCGATTTTTCTAATTGCTATCTCAAATGTTTTGAATTCCGTATGATACATTAATACAAGTTATTATATATATATATAGAAACTTGTATTTACTATACGAGTTATATTGTTATGTACTTTAACATGTATAGTGGTTCTGTACACATCTGTGCAGCAAAGTTATTAAGTATTAACTACATTCTTCTTATCATTAAATCTACGAAACTGATTCATAATTTATCGAGACAGAAATATGCTTATTCATTTTGATCGTATCATTGCAATTATCACGATTTATAGATGTATGGAGAAACATGTTGCAAGTTGGTTGTGTGGTGTAGCTTTTGTCGGCAAGTGTACATATTCTAAACCTGTATTTTCATATTACGACGACTCAATGACCAATACTTCGAGCTACTATGTTTCCTCAGACTGCCTGACACCAACATTTAGCAATTTCTCGTGTTACACGGAACTTCGTTTTCCGTCAAACGGATGTTCGAAATGTACAAACAGAGAAGTTCTTTTCCAGGCGCACGTGACTCGATACAAATGACTTGAAAAAAGAAACTAAACAATGCCAGTGACTAATGGGATCTCCACAGTCGATCCCTGAGAAAAGAACCTTACCCTCGGAAACACGAAAAACGAAGATTGCCATCCATTTTCATCATCGCCATTCTTTTTCCCATGTTTTCTTAGGTGGGTCCTGAATTGACTTATATGCTCACTGACGCAATAATGTTTGAGATACAATGTCAAGAAAATTTTCACCGCTAACTGAACAAATTTTATCCTGCACGTGTTGTACAATTGCACGTATTTAACACGTATTGGACAAATTTTCGAAACGTATTAATAATAATACAACACAGAGACGATAACATAGCGAATGTTAATGCGCAATATTAAACGAGTAGAGAAAATTCTTATCGTTCATGATTAAATTATAAACTATATACGATGAATTTTAGAAATATATTAATAATAATACTAAACAGAGATAATAATAAATTGCGATATTAATTCTGTAGGAAAGATTTTATTGCAAAGAACACGTTTAATTCGACCACCAATTAACGTTATATCGTATCGAATAAAAATAAAACAACTGTCTGATGTGCAGGTAAATTTTTAAAGTCATCTTTTTTGAACATGAAGAAAAAAAATAGATGAAACGGTTATTTGTTCGAGTTATTTTCATCCATATAATATTCTCTGCTTCGTTAACCTACATCTACATACATGTGTTACCATTTATATGTATGTACCAATGGCATAAATATGTATTGTACAATTTAAAAGTATGTTACTTCTAAGCAAAAGAATATAACAGGTAAAACACACACCTTTCTATTAGGAAATACGAAAATGTTTCTCTTGTATCATTAAAGAAAGCAGCGTCGACAATATTTTACATTTTGATATTAACGTCTATCCAACGATCATCTTATATTAATAAATTAATAAATTTGTGCCACACAGAATTTTAATTTCGGCATCACGAGAACTATTTATCTTTAATATTATATATTAAATAGTCTCGTTGATTTTATATAAAATACATACCAAAGAGATATAATTAAATTAGTCATAAAAGATAATATAGTTTCGAATCGTGCAACAGGATTAATAGTATCGCGGCACATTTGTACTCAATTGCTGTAATTCAAAAGTGAATGCACCGTGGAAGGTATTCTAATTGAAATTAAAATTTACGAAACGGTGTTCATCTTAACGCGAGTTTTAAAAGGAAGATAACCATAAGGCGTAATAACAAAGCTGATGTAAGTTAATTATCTTTGCACGGAATATGAAATAAGAATAATATTGCATATGGACGCGTGTGAAAGGTGACTTACGAAAATAAGATTTAGAGGAAAATAAAAATATAGTTGACGCCCAAAGTAGTCCATATGTTGCAAGTACCGACCACTTATTTCCCTCTAGTTGATCAAGATCTGTTCGGATTGGTTGGACTTGACAGAGCTCTACCAGAAGATTTGTCTGTCCTTTCAGCCCTACTCCAGCCCCAGAGCTCTCCTGTTCTCCAACTACACATCTATTCTGATTTCCACTAGCCTGTCGCAGTACGGTCGTATGTGCATGCTTGACATTTACAACTTGGTGCTAATACAATTCACAAGTAGCGGGTGATCTTACAGCATCTTCGGGAGTAGGGTTTCCTTCGACCACGTGCAATTACGACGATAACAAAGTAAATTGCTCTTTCAAGTGTTTCATTTGTTTAATCGGTGCCTTTAAATCAACCGTTTTGTGCAGATTCGATAAGTCTTTATAATCTAACATTCTCAACCTGTGCTTAACCTAACATCTTAATACCCGAAATTGCTGTGTTCAACAACGCATTCGTACATTATTCGGTAAGTATTAATAATATTTCAATTACCGCAGTTACGATATTCGTTTCGATCTATTGGTATAAATTTAATTTTGGAATCGTTCGAAGCTTTCATACCCTTACTTTTACGCGAAACTTTGTTGGGTATGTTTTATACTCGTATAATATACGTATAAATTTATCTTTCTATTAACGTTTCTATTATCTTCTTAATTTCATATTTATCATATTTATTACGATTTCGCGTAGTTTGCTTTCGATACTTTTCGTTTTTATCGCATTTTCTGCCTAATAGGTAAGAGTAACATAAGATTTCTCTCATTTTAGATGAGATGTCTTTGCTAGAAAATATAACTTCGACGGAGCAACAATATTCGGAAAATGTTTTCGAGAGCTCGTCGATGGCGTCGACACCACCTTCTTCTCAGATGAATCCTCAAAACTCTTACTTTCCTGGAAATCGAGACAGTTTGTCGAGTCATGGATACGTTTGGGATAACTTTCCGAATCCCTGCAATATCTCAACGTCGGTTAACACATTGAATGAACTTAGTTTGTCACCGTTTTATACCACGAGCTTCCAACATTCTAACACGAATCGAAATTACAGGATATATAGGTAAAGAAGTAATTAAAATTGCAAATATGCAAATACGAAGATTCTATGAAAGTTACTTTACCGAATTAAAGAAATACATAACCGTAAATTTCAATTTCGAATCGTTTTTAATTGCGATTGATTATTATTAAAATTGTGCATTTTATCGAAAACGATATATCGACTCGTGAAAGTATTCAAATGCTTCTAAACGAAATTCCAAATGGAAAGGTAATACAACTTCTTTCTATTGCTCTGAAAGAAAGCAATTAGGAGAATAGATAAATTGAAATTCGCAAATAGTAATCACTGATCAAGAATAATTGTTTATTGCTCCAAATGAATTACTACTAATTGCGTAGGCATAAGTGACTCTCATCGGACTTGAATTACAACATGAAAATATTACAACACGGAAAGATACTAATTATTCCTTTTTACCAAAATGTGCTTTACGACTGAAATAAATATTAAAAATGTATCTTTCTGTTTTATTAGCAACAAATTTAACATCGCATCTAGATGATGAGCAGTTCTAGATAATTCTTAAAAACTAACGTTCAAAAATAAAAGACGAAGAGAGTTTGATAACAAAGTTACATATATTTACATTTTATATATATATATTTACAGAGTTATATTTTTATGACGGTAAAAACATTACAATTATTGATAAAATTATTTAAAAACAAATTCTTTAAGCAAGAATTATTTAAATAACCAAAATGTTGTTAATAAATTAAAATACTTTAACCGTGTAAATCATAAATAGTTTGAAAAAGCTTTGAAATAAAAATTAAATCCAATATTTTTGTAGATAGAAGTAGATGAAATATTTAATAGATAAAATAACATCACTAATTTAACAATATAAGCATATTAATTAATATATGCTATTATTATTTATTAGTGGTGAAATATTTTATTTTACTAATTGCATCTTGTTAGATTTTGACATCGATATGTTATTATTATTATTATAAAACAATATGAAATTTGTAACATCATTTTGAAATGAAATATGAAAAGCATTTGGGTACATTCAACTACATGAGTAGTTTCCTAAACGATACTCATATTATATATTATGGTTATCAATTATTTTCATTAGAAAAACGCGAAAGAAAAATCGACAAACGTAAAAGTTTACAGTGTCCTGACTAGTTTCGAAATTACATTACTGTTTTCTAATGACCGATGAAAATTTCGTTATGAAATGATACGTATTGTCTTTCCCGTAAGAAGGTGGGAACAATGTTCGCATCAAAATTCTAGCATCGACGAAGAGGATATAATGGACGAATCGATGGAAAATGTAAATATAAATCCTACGGAACAATCTGTAGATTTTATCTGCGAAAAAACTCAGGATCGTCAAGTTTCTACGACTACGACGGTATTTCGAGCCTGGGAGATTCCATCGTGTCAAAACACTGGGCAAAACGCAGAGGACGAAGCGAAATATCGTTCGTGGCAAGATTCACGATTCACCATCAATCTAAGCAACAATTGCTTCGATAAAGGAGCGTGTTCTGTAGAACGAGAGCATGGTAAGATAATTTTGAAAAATATTATCGGCATATCGATAGAGATTGGTAAGATTTCTCATGAATTGGTACGTTAGTACGTTAGTATGTTAGTACGTAACTACATTTATGGCTGAACCGTCGCCAATATGGCTATAATAGAGCCAGCGTAGTCTAAATATTTATCAATCATTTAACTGTCATTTTCGTTTCGCATCGTCGTGTGTAATAAACGATGAAGCCATCATAAAATTTCATTCTTCGGGCAACAAATTTAGTCATAACTACGCATTCGTTAACTGAAATTAGTAAAAGGAATAGACAAAAATTGGTAATTTACGTATAACATATATAGTTACCTTTAGATATATTTTTTACAAATTTAGTATATCTACTATTCAAAATTCTACGTAGAAATTTTATCGTTAACTTAAAAGAATTACAAACTTCAAATCCTTTACGAATGTTTTCTAAATTAACTTTATTATTAACTTTCAGAAATCTATAATTCGTTTCATTTTTCGTAACCAAAACTATTTGAAGAATAAATTCCATTAACATATAACATATATCGAAATCACTGTGTACGAGGTTCGCTACCATTGTACTAAAAGATAATAGAAAAATTTTGAATCTTTGCGTGCATTTTTTCCAATGAAAATAAATACAAAATAACGTCTCGACGTTATATTTTGATTAAAAAATAAATGCCGGGCTTAGAAGATGAATTGGTCGAATTGCAAAAAGAATGATATTGGCAAAATTTCGCGAACTCGTTCGATTGACGTCAGTTAATAAATATAGATGAGATAGCGGCACGGAAGCAACGCTAAGGGCTCTACCACCGATCCGACCACGTTTTATACATCATCGCCCGCAGATGATCCTGCGATTCCGACAACCTACATTATAGCGGCACGTTTATTAACTGGCACGCGGGAGCAGCTTGCTAATGACGCATCGAATATGCAGCTATTTTCATCCGACCGCCGCTTTGCGAATAAAAAGCTGACACCGGTTAAAAACCTACCAAGCTTATATGTTATTACATATAATACCCGCTAGAGAATACAAGAAATCTGATGTTAAGTTATTAAACTTAGACTTTATCGTAATTCGTTAATTCGAGAAAATTTCATTCAGTTTATAATTACGAATCTCGTATAATATACATATAATAACTACTCTCCAGCTTCTCGGGCTATAATAAACAACTATTTTAACAATTAATTTAAAACAAACTTCGTGAAGATGATTTTAAAATCATGGCCTCGTGAAATTATCGAGGATAATAATAATGCAAGAACGAAAACAAGTTATTTTTCGTTGGATGTAAAACATAATTTGTTGATTTCTAGAATTAATCATTTTGTCAAATCAGACTTGAACTTTTGACTTCAAATTTCATTATTCAAAAATTGCTTTTTAAAGTCATTCAACGAATAATAAATATTTTATGAACTATTCCAAATGAAAAATAAAATAAAATATATGCAATTTGCTTGTCGCTTCGTAAAACAAATTATTTATTGTTCGATATGGTTATTTATTAGCTAATATTTATTATTAATTGCTCGATCTTGATGAAAATAAGTAATTTCTTAATACTAATGAGACTATTATAGGCTTAATACGATTATTACAGTTATTGTGCCACGCTTATTCCAAATATTATTTCAGAAATAAATTTTCAATTGAGAAATAAACAATTCTTCGATCTACTATTTAATTGATAAAAATAAAGAACATAACGCCAAATATTTAATGATATATGAAATAATTATCTTTAAATTACTACTTAAAATAAATTTCGCGTATAAGTTTATGTCGAACTATTATTACGGAATATTAAGTTTAAGAATAAATAATAAATAATTGTCAATTGTAACGTTTCTTTCCATAGAAGATAAAAAATTTGCGACAAAGGCAGCTCAAAACGAAGCTATTTAGCAATAAATCTCGTTACATTTTTAATTAAAATCGGCGCATTTATTTTAGACTTTGAACCGTAACTGAATTCGATATAAACTAATTTTTTTTAAATAAAAGCTTAGATATAAATAAACACAGAGTTTAAAATTCTTCATTGGATACAGTAATATTATCAAAAAATATTTCCATAAATCCATTAAATACTAACACGTTGTGGCAATAATCGCTACGATGAAGTTTACTACAGATTGGTATCGTTTTATTATAAAAGTCTTTAAAAAATTAATTATTTTTCACTATGAATTTAGGAAAATATTATCTCACAAATTTATAGATCTTTGCTGTAAAATTTAAATATATGATAAAAACAATTATTGTTATATTTTATATAACATGAAATAATACTTTATCTTATTATTACCTCGTTAAAAATCTTATTTCTATTACTTCGAAAACTATTGTATAATTATAATTGATAAAAATCAGAAAATTTTTCATTTCAGAGACAAATAAAAGATTAACTGGAGATAAACCTCGTAAAGAAAGAACTGCATTTACAAAATATCAAATTCGACATCTTGAGTATGAATTTGCACATAGTAATTATCTTACACGTTTACGTCGCTACGAAATAGCAGTTGCCTTGGATTTAACCGAACGTCAGGTAAATTAAAATACATGCAGGTAAATTTAAAATTCATTAATCCTGTAATAGCTTAATACGTCTCTGAAGCGCTGCATAATGTTCGCAACGTTCGATTATATGTTTAAAGATTTATTAAATATTAACGGCTTATTAAACGAATGGCAATAAAAAGGAATAAACGCGTGAAAACTATATCATTATCGATCTTTTATAATAATTATTAGTACTTTTCAGTGCAAAATATTTTAAGCTACATAGCATTATATAACATTACATAACATATCAATTAAACAATCAAATAAATATACTTAAATTTTTTTGATGTTTCATTCAATGAAATATAACACTCGACATAATTAAAAAGATCAACGTATGTAACATATTTCATATTAAAGCTAATAAATTAAAGAATAAAAGTAGATTAATTCACAAATCGATCACTGAATATTTCAACCAATTTCAAATACTGAAATTAATTAATCAAAGTTTTATATTCAGGATTAGTCACTCAACTATATCGTTAATTGCTAAGCAATTTGTTGCTCGAAAAAATATTCCGAATGAATATTGATATCAATAGGAGTATACAATGTAATAATTACTCTTTTATTGTACCACTTTTTTATCAAAATAGAAAAGTTATTTTGAGTGTTTTAACTGTAATGTGCAACATTTTATCATATCATTCGTACATATATATTAAACACGGAATAAAAAATGATTAGAGTAAACGGAGTCAAAAATTAATAGTTATCGAGATATCCTTTAATTGATTTTTAATGTAACAAATGTTCAAAATATTTCATTTAATATTTAATATACGAGGCATTTGATACACGTGTTCTGAAGTTGTAGACAACTCGCGGTAAACATCATTTTTTAAATGCCCTCAAAAATAACAACCAAGTAGCGTTAAATCGCCAAAAATCGTGAACAAGACTCGTATCTCGCAGTTCAATAATGCTAAAGTTCATTTCAAATTTTATTTGACCCTATATATATATATATATAACTTAATAATGTTTTATTATGTATTCAATACACATTAAAATAACTCAAAGTGACCTTCGTATTTTGATAAGTGAAAACATAAATAGATAATTATTGCACATTTCATATTTCTCTTGATACCAACAAATTTTTATAATATCGTAATAAATTATAGTTGCGTGATTTACTTTGTATAGAGAGAATTTAAATGATTAATTAAAATTTGAAATATGAGTTTTATTGTGCAGGTTAAAATAAGAAAAAGTGTCCTATTTGAAAATATATATTTCAGAGATATAATTTAACTTACAATTAGCATGTCATCACTATGAAATGCTATATTTCTATTAGGACACATCCCTCTACACTTGAGTAATAATAATCCATTTAGACTTAAGACAATGACCTAATAGTCATTTAAATCATTAAATTTCCTTAAACGATATTACTATAGTATAGAGAAAATGATAATGTATAAAATGCAAAAGAAAAGTCAACAGATTTAATAATTTTCCTCTTTACTTACTTCATTGATAAAATAAAAAGTTGTTAATGAGAAATTTGTATTTGTCGTATGTACATCAGATGGAATTGAAATGATCAATGCTAACATATACAGATTGATAATGTATGTTGCTTAATTTGAATATTTAAAACTCTTTAAACTTTTATAAATACAAAAAGTCTTTTATAAAACCATTTTCTTACCGCATTAAATAAATTTGTACGATATTTGAAATAATTCCAATCTATGATAAAAGACATTCAAATATTTGTAAAAGCTAAAGGGCAAAATATATGTATATGTACAATATACAAAATATATAAATATAACTAAATGGATAAAATAAAATTTAGAAAACAATATGTTGATCGTAAATATAATTATTAAGTAAACATTATTAATCTCAATCTTAAATAGATAATAATGCAACATGAATTATCATTTAATAAAGATATAACTATACAGTAATTACTATTGAATTTTAACAATGAAAAATGTTTCTAATTTTTTAGGTAAAAGTATGGTTTCAAAACAGACGTATGAAATGGAAGAGGACAAAAGCAGGATTACGAAATGAATCAGAAAAGTTTAATATTTCTTGATAATTATTTGTTCAATGCTAAACATTTCACATGATGTTTAACTGTAAATACAAAATCGTGTAATCCAAAAATACTTAATTATAATATAATATGTAATATACATAATTTCGACATCTGTACCATAATTATGAATAAATGCGTTTTTATTATTGTATTCAATAAAAAATTAACAACACTTATGTAATATTATTTAGAACCATCTACTGGTATAAACTCAATATCAAAACCTTTTTCTTTTAACTTATTTTGTAAAGCAGATAATTTATCCCTTGTGCTTTGTATAAAACTCCTATGCTCATTTTTTCCAATATCTCTATTTCTTAATTTGTTAACTTCGTTTCTATTTATGAGTTTAGGATAAATTTCTTTTGTCCATGATGTGCCAGCAAAAAAGCGTCTATGCTGTTTTTCAGGTGGAATATATGTTGCTAAATAAAAATATTAAATTATATTAACATAACACAATTGAAACATTTCTTTTAAAAACACTGTAAAAAGTTTTAGTATGATACCTTTCAATAATCTTCCACACATAAGGTAATTGTTCATTGTTTCTGCAGCTACTCTAGCAACTTCAGGATACATAAATTCCACATATCCATAACCACGGCTTCTACCAGACTAAAAATTGATATTACGATTAATATACTATTATTTTATGTACCAGAGATTTTATTTTTATATTATTATATTATCACATAATATATCGTTATGTCAAATATACTGACTATGATAATATTCTACTGAATAATAATAAAGTAATTAATCCTCTTTGTTATTAAAATTAAGTCAAATTAATTTTTTCTTATAGAATTATTGAAAATCTTTAGTCTATTCTGGTCAATTTTGTGAAAAAAAAGAAAAACTGTTGAAGTATATATTAAAAAGTGATAATAAAAGATTTAATTAATATATGAAAGATAAGAACTTCAAATTTTACTCAGACAAAATATTAATTATTCTTAAGTTTATATACAAACATTGTCAATGTGTTCTATAGATACAAATAAGGCAAAAATATCACCTTAACCACACATCCATGAATATTTTATTAGAAATTTAATTAAAATTTTTCATGATAATTGTCTTTGTTCATAAAAGCATCATTTACAATATATATAATTCAACATTGTTGTACATTATAACCCAGAATATCTATTTCTCTTATTTAAATATGCATATACTTCCACTATTATATAATTACAGAGCATATTAGAATTTGATATGTCGAAGCTTGTAACTTAAATAGATATTTACATTAAACATAATAGAAATACTTACATTCTTTGAGCGAACAACACGTACTCTAGTTACTTCTCCAAATTGTTTAAAATAATCTGTCATTTGTTCTTCGAAAAATCCATGAGGTATATGACCTAAATACACTATACCCCTTGGATATACTTTTCGACGTTTTCCTCGATTCCTTTTGACCTTAGTAATTTTATGTGATTTTCTTACTTCTGCATGTTTTGATACTAATGGTGGTAGTGTTTTTGTTTCCTCAATATTTTTCTTCTACAATAATAAAAATAGTTTTTAATTATGAGTTTAGTATGATTCAATTACTTATAATTAAATATCGTAACATGCAGGTTATGTTTAAATATGATCTAACCTCTAATACTTTTTTAACATTTTCTATTGCTTTGAATACTGTTGATTCTTCTTCGATATCTGATGATTTACGTTTAACTCTTATGGCTTTCTTAACGGGAGGAACCCTCAATGCATTCGATTTTTTTTTAATTTTCATTTTAAACTTGCAATGATACAATTAAAGAACACTCCATACACTATATAAATTCCCAAAATCAATAAAATGGTGGAATCTTTTGCCACTAGGTGGAAATCACTATGAATATATTTTCACATCTATTCACAAATTTTGCAAGTATGTAAAAGTCTAAGGCTGGAACAGAAAATAATGTTCCTTATACCGAAATATTTACTTACATATTGATTTCAAACAAATATTATTTAAAAAACAAATTTTATGGTTCTTGTGTGTGTGATATTTCATATAAGAGATAATAAGTGTTTTCATATCGGATTGGATAAGATTATATAGTAAAATTATATATTATCTTGTATTATTAATACTTTAATTAATATTCTATTGTTAATTAATACAATTTAATTATATTATATTATAATTAATTTTAAAATATAGTAAAATACGAACATATGTAATGCACAAACGTGTAAATAAATTAACTCTAATCTGATTCTTTTAATATCAAACACGAATAACCGTGCATAGTGTTTATTGAATGTTCTCTTCATACGTGGTTGTTTATTTGTAACAAATTAGTTTTGATTATAATAAACTATATGTTTCATTCTTTTACTTTAATCTATGTAACATAGATAATACCTGTCTTTCTTCCAATTCTATTTTTATTATTATTTTTATTATTAACAAAGTCTTGATCAAATTTCTGTGATATTTATAACATTTTTGTATAAATTTGTAAAATTTTCAATTCCAGCTAAATTTTTTTGTAAAAAGATTTTATTTTCCCTTGAATCATTTTAATTTGAATTTTTTAATATAAATAATAATTAGTTCAGTTTTTTATTTTTTGGTCATTTATAAATATTTCAAATATTGTAGAAATAATTTTTGAATATCGAAGGTCAAGACATAGATGATAATAAATAATTTTTTAAATTTTATACACCAAAAAAAGTAATTTTAATTTAAAATCTCTATATAAGTTTGAGAAACTTTGTTATTAGTTTAAGGAACTCTCTTATTAATATTAGAAATTCTAGGATGAAATACTAAATACAACCAATAGTGAACTTTCTATTTAAGTTAATTTACGTATAATGTTTTATACATTGTACTAGAGTGGTATCAAGTACCCCTGTAAAAAATTGCATTGCATGTTTCACTTTATTTCATCTGAAACTATCACTATGTGTGTATGTATGAAACTCAATAGCACTATTTGCACAAAGTGTATAAGGAGTAAATGGAAATCTGCACTAAAATGGTTTTCTTCATAACACACTAATCTTTAATTAAACTTCAACAGAGATCATCTTTTACTAATTAATTATTATTAACAGTTTACTAATAAGTAATAATTGCGTTAAGTAATATTAATTTATCAGGGATAATAATTCTGAAAATTGTCGCAAAGTATAATTTAAAGCTTGTATGTATGTCTATAATTAATTAGAAGAAATATTCTTTCTAAACTTTAATGTTCATATATTATAGTAATTCTACAATATAGTTCTTATTATAGTTTATAAGGTTCATATTCAATTATTTTTTAATAAAGAATGTTTTAATATGATAACCTTTTTAATGCATTTATATCAAAATATATCAAGTTTTTTAATTAATACGTGTAAGTATGTTTTATAAGTATTAATAACTGAAAATACATAAATATATTATAAATATTCAGAATTATTTACAAATGTTTTACAAATATTTCAATAATATATTAAAATAGAAATATAAAATAATTAAAGTGTAACTTTTTATATAGTATAATATCAGAAGTATAATATATATTTAATCTAATCTAATTACATAAGTTTCTTGTGCTACTTATAATCAATAAAAATAAATAACAAGTTTAATTAATATCAATGTCAATTATACAACTTCATATCAAGATATCATGAATTTATTGAAATAAGAACTTCTGCAATAGAAGTACTTCAATTTTGTGAAGGAGGATGTATATACGAATATTTTGTACATATAAAAATTCAAAGACAATTATGCAAGAATAATACTAATTTAAAAATGTTTAGTATGAATCACCATAAAATAGGAATATCATATTTATTAACTGGTGAACATTATATAATGGATATTAGTATTATCAAATATAATAATAGAATCTTTATCAAGTACGCTATAAATACACAAATAGTATATACATGTATATAGTTTAAAAAAATAACTATTTTACATAAAAGATTGTGAAATGATAATATAATTATGAGTTTATAAGAGAAAGTGTTATTAATATGTAAAGTAATCAAATATGAAAATACAAAAATATACAAAATTACAGAAACGGAATTTGAGAAAATATTTTCAAAGTATAATTAAAGAGTAATTTAGCTATATGTTAAAATATACTAATTAGATCTTATTCCTCAATGAAACAATTAACTATCACCTGATATTATATATATATTACTAGATTTCTGTTATAGAAATAAATATATTAATTATGATTAATATATATCTACTTTTAAAATTCAGTACCGTATACATTTCTTATTATATAGATTTCAAAAGACATTGGGATGAAATTCATTATAAGCAATAGCAACAAATTTGAAAAGAACTTTGAATTTGTAATTCAATTTTATTTTCAAAAAAGCAATTAGCTTTTTATAATCAAATTTTTAAAATAATAAAAGGAAACTATTTTATTAATTATCTGTTTAACTGAAAATATGTTCAATAGTAACATAAACAATACTAACTTATGATGGTGAATGATGTTTATATGAAATTGTTATAATAACCTGTAATGTAAACCAATACAATTGTATTGTCTTTTATAAAATATAAAATCAGCAATTCACATTTAGATTGATTAGATTGAGATAGATAGAGTATGCATTCACAAAATATCAAAGTAGATTTGCAATCTGGTTATACAATTTTCAAAATTCAAGGAATCAATTCAAGGCAATTTAAGGTAATTTAAAGTTTGCAGCTAGTAAAAAGCAACATGATTAATTTTCATTGTTTTTTTTTCTTACTATAAAATATTAGGCCATATACCAAAGCCAGATATGGATTAAAATTAAATTTTTGTATTCTTCTTATATAAATTTAAACAGTTTATGGAAAAATTATATAGTAAGATAACTTCAGTAAAGAAGTTGGCAATGAAGTATTAAATTTAGATCAAGAAACATGAATGTTAAAAATGAAACTTAATGAAAATTAATGAATTGATGAATCTATTAGTCAATTAATGAAAACAGATCCTTGCATAACAGTTAACTAAAAACTTGAATTTTTTCTGATAAATTTTAATGTTACATGATTAAATTTTGATTGACATTCTCAAATTTCAAATTACTATTATTAAAAGAAGAAACAAAATATATATATATAGTGCTGAACAAAAGTATTGGCACAGCATGGTTGTGTGGTAGAAGTGCTTGTAACTAGTAAACAAATTGATTTGAAGAAAAAACTTTTTGACAAATTCATTTGTTATCTATTATAGTTTTATTACATAGTAGAAGTAATAAAATAAATACACTGATTCACGAAACAATAACAAAAATGTATTTATCGAACATTTTATGGGTGGACAAAAGTATTGGCACGCTCGAATAAAAACGTTTAAAAATGACTTGAAATTAAATATTAATATTTAGTTGGCTCTCCTTTCCTTTTAAGAACTTTGTTTAATCGTTTGGGCATTGAATTAATTAACTTTTTTGTAAAACCCGGCTCGATTTTATTCCATTCTTGTAAAAGAATATTCTTGAAGTCTGCTTTGCATGTTATACGATGTTTTCGAATCCTCTTTCCCAATTCATTCCAGACATGTTCGATACGACTCATGTCTGGACTTTGGGGTGGTGTATTTAGGGAATGAGAAGTATTATAAATGATCCAATGGCGTACGATGTAAGCGGTGTGCTTTGGATCGCGGTCTTGTTGGAAAGAGAAATTCCGCGGGAGATTTAATTCTTCCGCATTTTTTAATAAATTTTGTTTTAATATATTCAAATATGTGTATTTATCCATAATATCATCTATAAAAATTAATTCGCCAAACCCAGGTACTGTTATATATATATTACTAGATTTCTGTTATAGAAATAAATATATTAATTATGATTAATATATATCTACTTTTAAAATTCAGTACCGTATACATTTCTTATTATATAGATTTCAAAAGACATTGGGATGAAATTCATTATAAGCAATAGCAACAAATTTGAAAAGAACTTTGAATTTGTAATTCAATTTTATTTTCAAAAAAGCAATTAGCTTTTTATAATCAAATTTTTAAAATAATAAAAGGAAACTATTTTATTAATTATCTGTTTAACTGAAAATATGTTCAATAGTAACATAAACAATACTAACTTATGATGGTGAATGATGTTTATATGAAATTGTTATAATAACCTGTAATGTAAACCAATACAATTGTATTGTCTTTTATAAAATATAAAATCAGCAATTCACATTTAGATTGATTAGATTGAGATAGATAGAGTATGCATTCACAAAATATCAAAGTAGATTTGCAATCTGGTTATACAATTTTCAAAATTCAAGGAATCAATTCAAGGCAATTTAAGGTAATTTAAAGTTTGCAGCTAGTAAAAAGCAACATGATTAATTTTCATTGTTTTTTTTTCTTACTATAAAATATTAGGCCATATACCAAAGCCAGATATGGATTAAAATTAAATTTTTGTATTCTTCTTATATAAATTTAAACAGTTTATGGAAAAATTATATAGTAAGATAACTTCAGTAAAGAAGTTGGCAATGAAGTATTAAATTTAGATCAAGAAACATGAATGTTAAAAATGAAACTTAATGAAAATTAATGAATTGATGAATCTATTAGTCAATTAATGAAAACAGATCCTTGCATAACAGTTAACTAAAAACTTGAATTTTTTCTGATAAATTTTAATGTTACATGATTAAATTTTGATTGACATTCTCAAATTTCAAATTACTATTATTAAAAGAAGAAACAAAATATATATATATAGTGCTGAACAAAAGTATTGGCACAGCATGGTTGTGTGGTAGAAGTGCTTGTAAC